TCTGTTGGGCTCTGCACTGATGGTGGAGAGCCTACTTGGGATTCTGTCTCTGCCCCTCTCCTACTTGCTGTCTCTTTCTCTCCCTCGAAATAAATAAATACTTTTTTTAAAAAAAGAATAGAAATAATATAAAGTATGTGCTTGGCCCATAAAACATCTGGGAATATCCCCAATTGTGTGGAAATTAAGTATCAAACATTTCTAAATCTATAGGTCAAAAGGAAGTCTTAAAGGAAATAAATATTTTGAACTAAGTGCAAATTAAAAAACAACAAAAATTTGTGGGATACAGTTCAGTCAGGGCTTAGGGGGAAATTTGCATCCTTAAACACTTAACATTAGAAAAGAATCCTCTGTGTCAGGCAGGGGTTGGCAAACTGTACCTCATTGCCTGTTTTTATAAACTTTTATTGAGGGGCATCTGGGTAGCTTAGTCAGTTAAGTGTCCAATTCTAGATCTTGGCTCAGGTCATGATCTCACAGTTTGTGAGTTTGAGCCTTGCATCAGGCTTTGTGCTGGCGGTGCGGAGCCTGGTTGGGATTGATATTCTCTCTCTCTCTCTCTCTCTCTCTCTGAAATAAATTTACAAGGAAACTTAAAAAAAAGTTTTATTTGGAACACAGCCATGTTCATTCAATTATGTGTTATCCATGGCTGCTTCCATGCTACAACAGCAGTAGTTGTGACAGAGTCCATTTGGTCCAAAAAGTCAAAAAAATGTTTGCCAGCCTAACTTCTATCTTAAGAAACTAGGGGGGAAAAGAGCAAATTAAAATCAATAAAACTGAAGAGAAAACCAATAGAGGAAAATCAGCAAAACAAAAAATTGGTTGTTAAAAAAGAAAAAGTACAATTGATAAACTTCTTTGAAGACAAAAGAAAAAAATCAGGTAGTTTGGAATTACTGAAGATGCTGAAAATGGAAAGAGTAAGTGAGACAGAATAAGAGTATCATATGGAGGCAAAGAATTAGGTCAGTGAATGGAGGAGGATGTTGAGACACATTATGTGAAAGAACTTTTTTCTAAAAATATGCCTATCACATCAATTTCAGAATCTATAAGCCATCTGTTTGCATGAATGCTTAAACTCCTAAAATCCTGTTTCTCTACTGGAAGAAACATTCAGTGGTCAATTTAATCTTCACACTGTGTCAGACCAATCCACTGGGAGAGTCCTATCACTTTCTTCTGTTTTTTAAAAAATATTTAGCTAGAAATTTTTGAGAAGCTTTAAGAAGCATTCTCCGAGCTAAGGATTTCTTTAAAATTTTTATTTAAAGCTCATTTGTATTTTGTATTCTACTCCAAAATACAGTAATGCTTATTTTAACATGAAAATGCTTGCCACCCCTCTGACCCGTTAATCAAAATTGGTGCTTTAGAATGACATGCCACGTTTATTCCCTGATTTTGCAAACTCCTTAATACGAACCTAACAGTCCTGGTTGGAGGCATCTTGCTTAGTCCTGTTTTTAAAAAACAGAGGAAGAGGGGCGCCTGGGTGGTTCAGTCGGTTAAGCGGCCGACTTCGGCTCAGGTCATGATCTCGAGGTCCGTGAGTTCAAGTCCCGCATTGGGCTCTGTGCTAACAGCTCAGAGCCTGGAGCGTGTTTCAGATTCTGTGTCTCCCTCTCTCTGACCCTCCCCCGTTCATGCTCTGTCTCTCTCTGTCTCAAAAATAAACGTTAAAAAAAAAAACCAAAAAAACAGATGAAGAAACAGTTCTTGCATGGGACCTATTGGAAGCTACTCAACTAGTTAGTTTCAAAGCCAGAATCTGAACCCAAGATTTCTGATTTTCAGTTTAGGATTCTTGCTAATATGTCATACTGTATCCAAATTTGTTCATTTTAAACCGTGCCTAACTTGAGCCTAACTTGAGCATCGTTCTGCAAGACTGTATGTTACTTGAAATTTATTTGGTATCTTCCCGCTGCCCCCCGCAAAAAAGTATTGTATACTCACGTTCAGTTTAGGACATGCTAGTTAGAATTGCTCTTTGGAGAGAGTCTCAATTCACATTAGTATATGGAAAGGATCAGAAGTCTTAGATGAAAGAAAGCAGTTAATTTTCGTAGCCCAGTGTTTTTTTTTTTTTTTTTTTTTTTTTTTTTTTAAGAATCCTAGTCTAATCTTTCACAACACTGTAGTATACTGATTTTTGTACAACAAAGTTAGGAGATACTAACCTATAGGATCATGTTAGTTTAGCTTTTGGAAACTAGCATGTAGATATAGCATTCCTATGAGCACTTGTGGACTGTAAATTCTCAGATGATGGAGAAGGAGAAAGCAAGGAAAACAAGATGAGTCAGAGTCAGCCCTGGATAAAATGAGATTTGTAAATGTGTATATACATAATACATGCTTTCTCTTTGTTAGAATTTACCCCATACACAGAACATCCAGCCTGACCTCTGAATCAAGCCCACTGTGACCCTTTAGATCACTCTTGGCCTCGTAGCACTTCTCGACTTGTGATCTCCATCATGCATTTGAATGTTGGGCCATTTTTAACTTCTTTCCAAAAAAATTTTCACCAGTGGTACAGTGATGCAGTGGATCATATATTGTCTGTATCTGTCATGGATAATACATCATCAGGTGCAGCTTTTTTTATTCCAAAAGTCAGCTTACTCCTTTTTTCTGAACCAGTAGGCTATGTGGGCATGAGGACATTAGAGTTCTCTAGAAACAGTCATTGCTAACACATATGTAGTAGCATTTAGGAAGTGCCAGCCACCATTTCATGCACTTTTTACAGATTAACTCCTTTAATCCTCATAAAACTTTTGAAGTAGGTAATATTACCTGTTTTACAGTCTGGTAACTAAAGTTATATAATTTGCTTGTGGCCATGTAATTGGTAAGAAGTAACCACTTAAACCTAAGAACCGGACACTGAAGATAATACTGCTCCTAAGTACTGCCACTGCTGCAAATGAGTGATTAGAAATTGCTGCTTTTTTCCATTGTTTAAAGACTTAGGACTGTTCTGCTTTCAACTCGTGGTTCACTTAGTCATAAGGACCTACCTCATGCCAGTCCTAGTGACTGAGCATATAATATATGGTCCTTATTCACATAGAGTTAAAATAAGAGTTTATTTACTAGTTTAGCCTTCATAGCTTGCTAGAAAATATTTTATTCTTAGTGTTAACTTTTTTTTAGTAATTTTTTAATTGTGCTAAAAAATTTAAAATTTACCATCTTAACCATTTTTAAGTATACAGTTCAGTAGTGTTAAATATATACACAGTATTGTGCAACAGATCTCCAGAACTTTTTTGCCTTGCAAAACTGAACCTCTGTTAAAAGCAGCTTCCCTCATTTTCCCCTTCTGTGAGTCCTTGGCAGTCACCACTCTACTATCTGTTTTTATGAGTTTGACTACTTTAGATACTTGAAATAAGTGGAATCCACAGTTGTCCTTTTCGTGACTGGCTTATTTTGCTGCATTATGTCCTCAAAGTTCATCCACGTTGTAGTGTGTGATGGTATGTCCTTCCTTTTAAGGCAGAATAATATTCCATTGTATGTGTACCACATTTTTTCAGTGTATCCGTCTGTTGATGAGTACTTGGGTTGCCTCTGCATGTTGACTATTATGAATAATGCTGTTATGGATGGAGGCTTGCCCATATCTCTTTAATATCCTGTCCTGTGTTCTTTGGATATATATCCAAAAGTAGGATTTTTGGATCACAAGGTAATCCTATTTTTAGTTTTTTAAGGAATCACTGTAGTGTTTTCTGTAGTGGCTGGGCAATTTTACATTCCACCAGCAGTGCACAGGGTTCAAATGTCTTCTCATCCTTGTCAACCCTCGCTGTTTTCTGTTTAAGTTTTTGTTTTTTATTTTTTTTTAATTTTATTTATTTATTTTTTTCAACGTTTATTTATTTTTGGGACAGAGAGAGACAGAGCATGAACGGGGGAGGGGCAGAGAGAGAGGGAGACACAGAATCGGAAACAGGCTCCAGGCTCTGAGCCATCAGCCCAGAGCCTGACGCGGGGCTCGAACTCACGGACCGCGAGATCGTGACCTGGCTGAAGTCGGACGCTTAACCGACTGCGCCACCCAGGCGCCCCAAGTTTTTGTTTTTTAAATAGTAGCCATCCTAATGGATGTGAGGTGGTATCTCATTGTGGTTTTGATTTGTAAGTTATAAAATTTCTGGATTATATCCTGGATATTAACTCCCTGTTAGATATATATATGATTTGCAAATATCTTCTCCCAATTCATAGGTTGCCTTTTCACTCTGTTGATTGTGCCCTTTCATGAACAGAATTTTTTAAGTTTGATGTGACCCAGTTTGTTTATTTTTGCTTTTGTTGTCTATGCTTTTGGTGGCATAGCCAAGAAAGCGCTGCCAAATCCAGCGTCTTGAAGCTTTTCTCCTGTGTTTTCTTCTAGAAGTTTTATAGTTTTAGGTCTTACATTTAGATCTTCAATCCATTTTCAGTTAGTTTTTGTACATGGCATAATTAAGGGTCCAACTTCATTCTCTTGCATGTGGATATACAGTGTTCTCAACATCATTTGTGGAAGAGACTCATGTTAGATTGTTGTTGTCTTTTAATGCCCTGAAATGATGAGTTTGTGAGAATTTTCTGTTCAATTTACGATGTTTTGCACACTGACATTTAGCTTTGGTATTTTCTTAGTTATTGATATTTATAGAATTTCAAGTTTTATAGGTATGAGGCAGATCCTGTCAATAACCAGTGATATAATTTTAAGTGATCATTCAGCCCTTTGGGTTGTTTGTGGGGTTTTCACATTCGGGGTTCTTTTTTTAAATCAAACATCTATGGTATATTAAAATTTTACATGAGGCAATTTCCAAGTCCTTCTGTGTAGTTTTTTCAAATGCCTAATGTATATTAAAATATTTGTTGCTTTGAGCTAAATATCTAAAAGCATTCTAAGCCAAAATAAGTGATATAGAAATAAATGTTGCATAATTTTTCCTGTCCTCCTTTGCTCCTAGGGAAGCAGCACGAGAGTGTCGTAGAAAGAAGAAAGAATATGTGAAATGTTTAGAAAACAGAGTGGCAGTGCTTGAAAACCAAAATAAGACTCTCATTGAGGAGCTAAAAGCACTTAAGGACCTTTACTGCCACAAATCAGATTAATTTGGGATTTAAATTTCACCTGTCATGGTGGAAAAGGACTGGCTTGGCCTCAAGCAGAAAGACAAAATAAACATTTTATTTTCTAAACATTTCTTTTTTTCTATGCGCAAAACTGCCTGAAAGCAACTACAGAATTTCATTCATTTGTGCTTTTGCATTAAACTGTGAATGTTCCAACACCTGCCTCCACGTCTCCCCTCAAGAAATTTTCAGCACCAGGAATCATGAAGAGACTTCTGCTTTTCATCCCCCACCCTCTTCAAGAAGTAATAATTTGTTTACTTGTAAATTGATGGGGGAAATGAGGAAAAGAAAATCTTTTTTTAAATGATTTCAAGGTTTGTGCTGAGCTCCTTGATTGCCTTAGGGACAGAATTACCCCAGCCTCTTGAGCTGAAGTAATGTGTGGGCCGCATGCATAAAGTAAGTAAGGTGCAATGAAGAAGTGTTGATTGCCAAATTGACGTGTTTTCACATTTTCATTGTGAATTATGTAAAATTGCAAAGAGATATACCCTCTAAAAAAGAGTTTTAGTGTGGTGTTGAAGAAATTAAGAATGAATTCGAAGTGCTTTCTATGTACATTCTCTTCTTCAATACTGACAACTTGTCCTTGACCTTCTGTATTAACTGTAGCTCTTCCGTAGGGCAGTTGTTGCTTCTTATTTCAGTTCTGTATGTGTTCAACATTCTTGAATACATTAAAAGAAGTAACCAACTGAATGAAAAAGCATGGTATTTGAATTTTAAATTAAACTGAAGTAAATAAAAGTACAAAGCTTGTTTTAGTTAGTACTAAATTCTTAGTAAAAAGATGCTCATTAGTAAACCAGCCCCTTGAGTTACGTAACAAGGTTTTTAAATAAATGTTTTTGTCATCGCCTTCAAAAATACTTATGTCACTCATTTACTTAAAAAGATATTTCTAATTAAACTGTTCCCATTTGCACTTACACTATACCACCAACAGGAAAGCCTTCAAGATGTTAAATAAAACAAAGTGATATCTTTGTTTATAAAATGTTGTGTTGTAGAAAAATACTGATTTTAAATCTTTTCCATATTAACATACTTTAACAGAGTATCCTTAGTGAATTTTTTAATGAAAGTGTAAGGATATAGTTATAAAAAGTACAGTATTAGATGTACACGAGAGTTATTTTCTTCAGACGTATTTGAATGACTGCTGTACTACAATATTTGGATTGTCATTCTTACAAAACTTTTTTTTTTTTTTTTTTTTTTTTTTTTTTTTTTTTTTGTTTTCTCCTAAAAAGGATAGTTGTGCTTGAGCTTTCCAATATGCTGTATAGCCTTTGTTGTTCTGCAAAGGAGCTACCTGTTTTAACCCCTGACTATACCAGTCTGTATTTATATGTATCATACATTGTTTCCAATACTACTTCTAACTATTAATTACTCATTCACTAAGCTTGATAAATCTTTACAAAAGTTACCCTTTAAAAAAATAGGACTAAGGTGGATTTTAAAAATTGGAAACTGACATAATGTTAGATATAATTTCTCATTTGAAAAGGTTATTCCTTTTAAAAGAAGAGTGTAGAAAATTAATGTTTTATATTTAGTCATGGGTTATTTTTAAAAGTTTGTTAATGTATTAACAAAATATACAGATGTGGGTGTTAATTGTTGGGTCCCTTTTGAAAAGTAAGGTTTTTAATTAATATTTGTAAATGGTTTATTTTTGTTTGTAACAAACCATTGTCTCTTTTCAAGGATGAACAGAGTTTATGAAGGAGCATCATTCTAAGAATTGAGTGATGTAGTCTTATATTTGGACAATTCACCAGATTCTCAAGAAGGCTTTCAAACGACTGTAAAGTTTGATGTTTATCCTGCTGAGCTAATGGGGAAAGTTGTAGCATAAAAATTATTTGTATACCAGCATAGATGTGTCATTTTCCAAAACTTCAGAAACCAAGCAAAGTGACAAATCTTTTCACAAACTAGAATTCTTTCTTAATGAGTCAAAATGTTTCAAATGTCATAAACTTTATAAATGAAAATTGCCTAGTATTTAGCAAGTTGTATTCTCCAAAGTAAAATGTTTCCAAAAGTCGAGGCATTCTGTTTAGTTAGAAAAGTTGGTGGTCCTCTTAGTCCCTGATGAATCAAGGCAGTCACATCCATATTAGCTGGTTGAATTTGTAAGTTTTTACAAACACCGGGTCCTTTGTACCTTGAGGATGATTGCACTGGTTTGAAGTCAGTTACTTAATGGTGAGGTAAGAAATCTATTCTGTTGCTAAATCTGTTCTAGACCCATAAAGAGACTTGAAAATTTCAGTTTATACAGATAGAAATTAAGCATCTTTTGTGCAGACTTTTTTTTTTTTTTTAACAAGAATTGGAAAAAAGGTGTTTGTTTTTAAGCATGCAACTTTGAGAATCTTTATTAAGGAAATGACATAATTTAAAAAAAAAAAATCTTGTAGCCAAGAACATATATGGCCACATTACCAGTAATAAATGTTTTTTTCTCTTCATATTGGCCAAAAGGGAATGAAAATGTCATCATAGGAATCTGTACATATGCTACTGATTTGCCTAGAAAATAGCAAGTTTGGTATCGCTTACTTTGCAAATATAGGGCCATGTGGCACTTTTATCTATAGGACAGATTAACTCTAATAAAAATGAAGTGGGAGGGGTTTATTTTTGATATATTACTCTTACGAGTTTTCAAACTTTGATAGTGTTTAGCTGAAAAGTGGTTTAGAAAGGGCTAGATCCAATGTGTCCACCCTATTAAAAAATTGATATCAGATCTAATTTTAATTTCATTCTTTTCAAACTCAAGTACCATATTGGCAACCATCATATTGTCATAGGTGCTCTGTTCGTTTAGATATTATTGGGGGGGAAATGGCATTTGTATAATATATGTGTACATATATATAAATACATACAGTATATAATCTGAAGCTCTGAGAGCTCCTAAGTCAGGAATGCTGAGTATTATAGTATATTGAGGTCAGATGAAATTTTACATCTTTGCGTGTTCTGTTGCATCCCATTTGGTAGTTTCTTGGACTGCATTACTCCAGCACTCATGATTGATTTTTGTCTTCTAATTTTCTTCCAAGTATTTTATTTTTACTGTTCGTTTTCTTTGGCTTGATACTTTTATGTATGTTACTAGTCACTTGAAAACTCCCCCGCCCCCAAAGTATTTGGTTTTTATGCTTTGTCTCTGGCAGCTATAACAGTGGTAAGAACATTTTGCAGATAGCTTCTAAAAGGTACCACTGATTTTTCAAAACTCATCCTGGGGGAGGAATTTGGGTGTTTTCATTTGAGCAGGGATTTTTTTCAGAAAAATGTGTTTTGATGGTAGGTCAGCAGCAGTGCTAGAATCTGAAAGCACAATACCAGTCAGGCAGGCTGTCCGATCAGAAGTCATCTGGCTGAAGTTTATCTCTGTCTCTCAGGCCTAATCCCTACTATCATTTTGACCACTTGGGGTGACATGTGGAATCATACAAAGGCTTAGGAAGAAACAACCAGTGTGTTTAAACCAGGATGCTTTTACTTACTTGAAGTGACTTCAATCTAGATTTCTTCTTTACATTTTAAAAATGTTTTTAATTTTGTGATCAGCAACAGTCAATTTATTAGCATAAATTGGTCTCTTTATTTCGAAGATCAAAAAGTCTGCTTCATTTTGCAGGATTAAATAAGGCAAATATAAAGTTATGATTTTTGAATTAAAGTGGGTTTTTAGAACAGTCATTACACACCTTTTCAGTTATTTGTAAGAGGCTTCATTTTGTTGCCTTGTTGGCTCTGAAAACTTTTGGTATGCTGTTTCCCGTTGACCTGATACAAAAGTTGTATATTTATTTGGATTATATTTACATTATATTCTTTGTAAATGTTTGGTGTAACTTGCACTTTTAAAAAATGACCCTGTTGGGTGTTAGCAACTTGAGAAAAGTTCCCTCATCAATTGATTGTCAACTGGCTTTTTATGTCATTTTCCTCTCTTCAAATCATGTGACTTTTTTAAATGGAAAATTTCATTAAAATATTTTAGCACCTAAAGGCTAGCCTTATAAATAGCTGTGAAAGAAAAGTAACAGGAAATTAGATTTGACTAGCCCAGTTAATTAAAAGATGAGTTTGAACCCAATGGGATTCTTTTACATCATGGATAAAGATAGAAGGAAAAGCAACTGGAGTAAATTGATACTTATTTTCAATTTTAAATGAGACCGTATTCCCATTCCAACATTAGTGTTGTCTGTAGGGTGCCAAGATATCCATCAATTTATCTAGAACAGTAAAATAGTTTTCAAGGCAGTTAATTACCATCATCATGGAGACCACATGGAATGATTTGACTGAGGTTTTTTCACTTAAAATTGGCTTTGTTACCATCAAACACCTAAATCGGACTGAGGTCTGGTGAGAAGGGAAAGCGCAACGCGCTTTGGTAAGCTGCCTGGAGGTGAAGAGTTGAGGGATACATTTGCTCACTCTGTTGTACAAAGCACAACTAGAACTTTTGTTGGATGGTTTGCCTACATCTTGAATACTTTTAACGTTGATACGTTGACTTTTTTTAAGTTGACTGCACAGTCACTGTATGTACTAGGAACTGGTTTCCTTGACTTTCTCGAATCAATGGCTAGGAGAGGCACTAATCCCTGAGGGGTTGAACATATCATGAAGCTGAGTCAGTATGGAAGAATTTCAAATAAATCAAACAGGGTGCTGAAGTTCCATCTGTCTCCTATGCTTCTGATAAGTTCGTACTGATTAGTGAATGTAGCTTAAGCCTTTGTATGTGTCCTCAGGGGGGCAAACTTTAAGAGGGACCAGATAACGTTTGAGTGGAGGGATTATATTTCAGGTGTTTTAGCTTGAAATTTATTTTTTAAAAAAATAAAAATAGAAAAAAAAAATAGAACAAAGCCTGTGAAGATGATATAAACAGGCAGAGTTGTTTTAGCACAGAGAGAAAATATTGACCTGTCTGCATTCTGGTACTGTGGGTGCAGGTCCTAGCTGGGTATATAACCTGATACATTTTTAATTATTCTCACCAGCAAGTAAAAGGAAAATGAACAATCTTTGGGAAATGTCTTTGAAAAGGGGCAAATGGTAGGAAAATCAGATTTTACCTCCTTTATACAGGCATTATGTGATACTTGCCTACAGAAGTATGGGCGTTTCCAAGCTTCCGAGGAGCATCTCAGAAATGTAAGAGTCAATCTGAGATAGTTGAAAAATTGGTAGGGAAGGAAGAAAATCCCTGCAAATAGTAATCTTATGTTAGTTGGCCAAGTGAAATGATCTATCTTTGTGTTTGGGAGGTTTTATTTTCTTACGTTTTTAAAATTAAATTGGTAAATGCTTTATAGACATATTTTTATCCAGGTGCCACTCCAATTTGTGTATGTAATAAAAATTATTTATATTAAAAGTGGGAAATAATTTGTCACCATTGTTCTGTGAGTATGGATTTATGGAGGGGTGGCAAAGAGGAGTGCTAGTTAGCAGTTTTCCATGTAGAGTCGTCCCCAACTGATTTGTCCACATGTCACTTGTCCTCCCCACCCAAAAAAGGA